TTTGTAGCTAATTATAGTATGGTTGTACTGTTCTCTCCAACTCCCCTGAATGTGAGGTAGCGGAGACCTGTTTCCATCTGGACTTCTTCCTTCTTGCTTCTTGAATCGTACAGACTAAAGGACACAACCATAGTCAAGGCACTGAGTTCTTATGACTTAAAACTATTCTACTTATAAGTAATAAGAGCAATGTGAAGAGATTTGGTTATATGAATAATGTAAATATCACTAATAAATATTAAGTATTATTTGGTAACATACTAATAGGCCCATAGGTTGGAAAAATGAGCCACTCCTAAAATATATAATAGATATGGGGAAATGGGAAGAAAATGTTCAAATGGGAAGGGGAACAAGGGAGGAGGGAGGGAGAAAGGAAGAAAAGGACAAGAAAAAAAAAGTGAAAAAGAAGGAAAAAATGGAAACATAGCTTTTGTACATAGGGGAGGTTGGGGCAAGGGAGGAATGGGAAAAAAAGGGGTAGGATGTACCATGTACAGGTGCAAATTCCCTATGATGTTACCATTATGTATGCCTAAAATGTACCAATAAATGTTTTGCTATAAAAAAGAGAATGAAATAAAAGGAATAAGGGTAGGAAAGGAAAACAAAGGATATGTTGCCATTAATCCCCCTCAAAATATTCCTTGTCAATTTGAACACATTTATCCCACCGTTCTTGCCACTTTCTGCAGCAGTTCCGGAAGTCCTCTTTCAAGAGTGTCTTTAGTTTTATTGTCATGGCTGCTTTGATGTCCTGAATCAATTCAAAATGTTTACCTTTCATGGTCATTTTGACTTTGGAAGAAGAGCCAGGAATCACAGTGCCGGATTCAGTGGATGAGGACACACCATAATGTTTTTACAAGCTTGCCTTTCCTTTGGATGGCACTCAGGGACAGCAGCACTTGCTGTGCATTTGGCTACACTTCCTAAAGACCCTCTCAGAGCTGCATCGGAGGGTGGTGAGATCATTGTGATAAGTATGTTTGAAGTGAGGGGGAGAATTTTGAAGAAGTAGTCCCAGCATGTCTTTCTTTTACCGTAATAAATCATTTTAATTTTCATATTCACTATAAAAAAAGAAAAATGAGCCACTGACCATGCAAAATTTGATTCTAATATGAATGCAGTGTGAGCATAGAAAAGATTGTCAGCCAAAACCATTTATTTTTTTATTTTTTTCATTTTTATTTTTTTGGTGCCGGGGATTGAACTCAGGTCCTTGCGCTTGCGGAGCAGGCAGCAAAACCACTGAGCTAAATCCTGGCCCCTATTTATTTTTTAAAAGCAGCACTCACCCAGCTGCAGCTGACTCATGAATTGAGTTGTTATTTACATCTGACACAACACTCAGGCATTTTATGTTTTTCATAATTTGGCTGGGAAGAAGTAGGATAGTGCCTCTTAGTTCTTAGTTGGAACGTAGTCAGTGTTCACATATAACTCATGTAATATTTATATTAATAAGAAAGAGACTTCTCTCATATAAACATTGAATATCATTGGCCACTTTTCTTAAGTAACTTCTTTCTAAATTTTTTTTCTTTTTAAAAAATATTTTTAACTATAGTTGAGTTTGAAAGTGGACTCCTTGTGCCATTATGAAGGGTCATTTAGGACTTAAGAAATCAGCAGGGCTGCAGTGCTCTATTTTCCAAAACCAGCACTTCATGCCAAATTTTAAGTTCTCTCAAAAATTCCCTCACCAGTCTTAATGGTTGATTCTTAAAAACCTGAGCATGTGCTCAGTTTTGTTGCCAAAAATGGCTCTATGTGGCAAGGATTTCTTCATCTGCCCAAGCTTCGAAGTCAAGAATGTGCTCAGTATGCTTAATGCTAGTTAATAACTTGAGAAGGCAGTGCTTTGACATTGTTGAAACAAGCTGTTTTGTTTTTTGTCATTTCAGTTTATGAATACTACTGTCAGTAGCTGCTGTCTCATTTGTCTCACTGCTTTTACTGTCTCTGTAAAAGACTTTTTCTTTTTTGCTTTCGGGTTTGAGTACCACCTGAAGAGAGAATCCTTTTAAGGCCTGGGAGACTAGCCAGTGCCCTTTGTCCTTCTGTTCACCTACTAAAAGGTAGCATTGTTAACCTAATTCAGCAGGGCCCTGACTCAGTATAAACACTGCTCCATAGAGCCAGAAGGACTAATTGAATTGTACAATACATCATTTTTTTAGCAACAGTTTCAAGTGGATTGTACTTCATTTCCCAGAACACCATCCATTTTTTCCTCATTGAAGACTTTTAAATACAGCAAATATTTAAACATGATAAATAAAATATTTAACCCATTCTGCCTTTCTGCATTGACCTGTGGGCTACCCGAGGACAAGGCTCTGCCTGTTTTATCTTCCATCAAAGGCCTAATGCCTGCCGTGGTATCTGGGTATGTACCTGTGTCTGTAACCCTCAGACACAAGGCAGGATTTTCTCACTCTGTCACCTTGTTTTTTCCAATATAGCTGATTTCTCGAAAGCTTTGGCTAATTCTAGGTGCTTCCTTGTGAGCTGGATTTGCAGAAACTTGTAAGCTCCTTTAACTCTTAACTCTGCAGGATCAGACAACAGAACAGGTATCTCAAAAATAATTGCTGATAAGAAAAAAAAGACATTTTTAAATTATGCCATTTTTTTACATCCTTATGAGAAACATAAACTTTAGTGTGACCTTTACAATATAAGAAAATGATAATATGAATTTTATATATGCATATAAAAATGCATGCTTTTAATCAGTGCACAATAGCTGTATATTTAATGATGTACATATTGAGGGGTTTTCATGGTTGTATGTGCCTGTTGTCTTCTCCTCTGTCCTACCCTGTCCACCAAGTGATTTTTCTTTTCTCTTTTACTAGGGAACAAACTCAAGGCCTTTACCCTGGCCTTTACCCTGGCCTCTACCCTGAGCTATATCCCCAGACCTTTTTTATTTTGAGACAGGGTCTCACTAAGTCGTTATATTGCCCAGGTTGGGCTCAACCTTGCCATCCTCTTGCCTCAGCCTCTCAGAGTGCTGGAATTAGAACAGGCATGCACCACTACACCTGGCTCACCCACTAAATTTCTATTTATCTTTCTACCTCGGATCCTCTATCACCTGCTTTCTCAGTCCATTCATTAGGAAAGTTGATTTCTCCCTCCTTTATGCTACCAATAGGCCTCACCCATGCCTCTGTATCAGTTGACAACTTACTTTTTTTTTGTTTTAATTACTTGTCCTTTATAACTAGTGAGCCCCTTGAAGGCAGGGGCTGTCTCCTATCCATCTTCATTTAATAAGCCTCTGGTCTGGAATATGAAGCATAATGAATTTCAATTTTGTTTTTTTGATTTATTTGGGTTTTTTGATGAGAGTTGTTTGTTTCAGTGCTGAATTCCAGTCATGCTCCTAGGGAGGTGTTAGTGGAGACTTTTTGGAGATGTTTTGCCTTCCATAGATAGAAACTGAATATTGTTAGCCAATTTACATCTCAGTATCAGTGAATCGGCATGTAGAGATTCTAAAAGAATCTAAAAGAATGCATAACCCATGTTATGCATTATTGAAGCTACCCCCTCTATCTCTGGTGCATTGTGTTTCTGTTGCATGGTTTATTTCTGCTGATGACAATGACATTTTAAAATCAACAGTCATAGTTTTGTCTTAGTCACTTTCATCTTCACTGGGACCCCATACCCAACACCCAGGACTTAAAGGTGAAGAGGTTTATTTTGGCTTGTGTTTTCAGTCCATAATCAGCTGGCTCCAAGGCAGGCAGGCAGGCATGGCAGAGAGGCACAGTGGAGGAAAAGCTGCTCGTGCCGTGGCAGTCCGGGAGCAGAAGGGGAGGTGCCAGGAAAGGAGATGTACCCTGCCAGGTCACCCCTTGCTGACCCACCTCTTCTGACCAGGCCCCACTTCCTAACACTAAGCCAGTTGTAATGCCCCCATGATCCAGTCACCTTCCACAGGCCCTACCTCTGAGTGCCCAAGGCTTTGGGGAGACATCCAGATATAAGCCTGTCAGTCTTGTCTACTAACAGAAGGGGATTGGATTGGATGGATATACTGGCCAGAGTCAGCCCAGGTTCAAAGGTGTTCTAACAAAAGCAGCTCTCTGGTTCCTGAATAATGTGATTGAGGCTGTTTTCTATTCAGTCAAATTATTTTGCATACAATGTCCTTTCTTTTCCTTTCCTTTCTTGGACTGTTTCTGTTCTTTTTAATTTTGTAATATATATGTAATATACCTTTTTTTTTTCTAAGTGACCACTTGTTAATGGAATATATATCTGTGTAAGCTTTTCTGTTGCTGGACTAGGTAACCAACACCCATACCTTAAAGGAGGATAGGTTTAATTTAGCTCACATTTTAAGGGGGGTCAGTCCATGATCAGCTGGCTCCAAGGCAGAAACATCTGGGCAGAGGGGTGTGGCAGGAGCCCAGGAACTTGTACCACCCATCCCCAGGGAGGATACCAAAGGCAATCAAGTTGGCCTTCCACCATCACCACCACAACATCCATATATACATATATTTTTATGTGGTTTTTAAAATCAGTATTGACGTTAAAAGGGTCTTAATTCCTTTTTATTTTGAAATAGTTATGAAAACACAGGAAATTGCAGAGACAGTACAGAGAGGTACCCTGTGCCTTTCACCCAGTTTCCTCCTTTGGTAACATCTTAGGTACTGTGATAAGATAAAAATCAAACTAACCAACAAGGAAGTTGACGTTGGTATAATTCGTGAATATAGTTCTGTTATTTTTATCTCATATATATTTATATTCATATAATTATTACCACAATCAAGGTAGAGTTCATTAATTCTTCCAAGAAAGAGAAGCCAAAATTTATATTTAGTTCAACTGTGGACTTTTCATTCAGCAGTGTTCAGGATAAAAAAAAGATACTTCGCTATCCAAGCTATGGTTCCTAGTTTGATTGACCAACTGTAATAAGCTGGATGATTCGCCAGAACTGACTGCCGAAGCTTGTTTTGTAGGTGTCCAAGCAGGCCAAAGAATTCCTGGAGTACGTGTACGAAGAGCCCCTGATCGACATCCAGCAGGAGAACCCCATGCTGTACCTCCACGCCGAGCCGCTGGCCACTGTGGTGCGCCTGAGGCAGCGGCTAAAATCACTGCGAGCCTATCTGTTCAGCTGCCGGGCGGCAGTTGCAGAGGATCTGCGCCGCAGGTAAGAGTTGTAAATGTCAGACAGCTCCAGGTTGTTTTTCTTTCCTGCCTAGGGAGGATGGTTCGATGCTGTCCAAGGGCCTTGAGACACCAACTTGCTCTAATTCTGTAGGTCTCCTTCCACCTCTCGGCTAGGCCTTCCTCTGGGCATGTCTTTGATTTTGTGCTTATGTTGCTTGAGCCAGGAAAAATGAAAATAACTTCTCAGTGTGACTGCAGGCTTTCCACCTGTAGATCGAGTGCCCAGGACAGCGAAGCCTTTCCTTACGTGTTAATCTGAATAGTAGTCATAGGAATGTTTCCACTGATCACTCACCTAGTGTTTTATACTTTCTCAGTTTCAGTTCCTATTTATTAGCAGTAAACATAAGCATGTTTGAAATGTTTCATGACTAAACAACATTTTCAGTGTGAAATAAGTATGTGGTTATTTAAATCTTATTTTCCATACAGAAACAAACACCCAAGCTTGGTAAATGATGCAAACAGTGTAGAGGTAGAATTAAAATGCACAAGCCCAGGATTCTGCATTTTTATTCTTAACATTGGTGCAGGCTGCTTTCCTGTAACTAAGTTAGCTCATAATTCATAGAACACACAAGTCCAAACCAGGATCAAATCCTTAAAATAAAATTGAAGTTAAAATGTGTTTACTCTCCTAGAGTTCCTTCTTTTACTGTTAGATTTTTATGGGCATATAAATTCTCACCTTTGGCATATATGAACTAGCTTGTACTTGAAATGATTGTTGATGATATTCTTGAGTTCCCCAAAAATACCTTTTGATTTTTTTAGTTTAAAAAAAAAGACCAGCAGCATACATTAGTCATGATAAATGCTTTTGGAAATAAGCCTACCTGCATAAGAACCTTTGGAAAGAATTAAAATAATAGAGTTTGCAATTTGAGATCCAATTAGATCCAAAGAAACTGACATAACCCCAGGCATCTGAAGAAGACATTTAAAAAAGAACTTAATGTAGATCATGAAGGATATATAATATCTAGACAAGCTCTCATAAAATAATAATGAAAAGACAGTTGCTATAGAGCAAAAAATTTCTCAGTGGTAGTCATTCTATTACCTAGCTGTTTTTCAGAAAGTTCCAGAAAGAGGTTGGGATTTATTCTAATAAAATGTAAGCAGATCTTAATTTTAAAAGATCAGAGCTTTCTCTGGAAGGCAATAGAATTATATCTCTTAAACTAATTTACCAACTAAACTAGATACAGATTTTTTTTTTTTTGTACTGGGGATTGAATAGATACTGATTTTTAATGTTCAAAGTATGCTTGTTCTGTTATTTTTGGTACCTTTTGACTTGGCTCAGGGCTTGTTTCTCTTGTGCCTATACTTGTAGATTACATGAAAATCTACACATGGGAATCATGTCAGATACCTTTCTGGTATAGTGTTTTGCTTTGGTTAAAATATGCCAAATCAGGGCACACATTTAGAAATTAAGTAGGAGGTCTTTTTCTCATATGGATGACTAAGAATCACTGGTCTAGCAGTCTAGTGGTTTACCACCATGTACTGCGCCTTATGGCCAGACCACCAGGAAAGAAATGAAGTTCTGGGAAGAAGGCACTCCCAGAATGATGACAACGAAGACAGCAGAGCTTTTTTCCTTTCCCTTCACCCCCACCATTTGTTTATGGCCATTGTATAAAACGAGGTATTACGATCTGGAGAGAGCAGGGATGGAGGGAGAGATAGAGGGATGCTAACTTCACTTAACAATGGCTAGTAAGAGACATTTGCACATTTCTCTTTTTCTTTCTTCCCTGTTTGTCTCTTAGCATAGTGTCTGATATGTACAAAACCCTCAGAAATAGTTGTTGAATGAATGACAAAAAAAAAAAAGGAAAGAACAGAACAAATCAGTCTAAACAATTAGTTGGTATGTTTCTGAATTAATTCTCAAATTTTTCCCCACGCAAGTTTATTGAAATTTCCTTCTAACTCGGTTTCCCTCTCTCCAGTCCAACCTTTGCATTAGACAAATTATTAAAGCACAAATATAGATTTTACAGTCTGCCCATATCTAGCCCAGTATATTATTCTCCTCTCTCAAACATCCTGCACTTCAAAAAAAAATTATTGTTTAATTCTTACCAAAATGCATTCTGTTATGGGAATTAAATGGGCTTCTACAACTGAAGTTTTTAAAATAGTTCTTGCACATAGTAAGTAGTCAGTATTATTGTCATTGATACTTTCTTTTATCCTATACTGTTCTTCTAGCTGGCTTTAGAAATGTTTGATAAAGTGTTTGATAAAATGTTCTACTTAAAAGCTACCCCCTGATGTCCTCTCTGCAGAATTAATCCTGTCCTCCTGCTACTGTGTCAGGAGAATATGAGCAAGGAAAGCTAGGTGAGCTCAGGCTGCAGTTCCTAGGTATATGATGCATACTCTTATCTTTATGTTTGTTTCATAAAATGGATGGAGCAGGGCCAGGGATGTAGCTCAGTGGCACTGCGCCAGCCCCGCAAGCGTAAGATCCTGAGTTCAATCCCCAGTACCAAATAAATAAATAAATAAATAAATGTATGGATCAGAATCTGCCTAAGAACAAACAATGAGATATTGATTCCTACACAACTTTAAAGGAGGCACGTTGATTTTTAAAATCTTTGTTACTTTAGATTCCCTGTACTTAGATGCTGTTAAAATATTTGGAGTTATCATTTTTCTCTCTAACCTGGGAGAGAGAAAAATATGTATTAATAAACATCATTCCTTTAGCTTTAAACAGAGTAGATAGTGAGTGGAGAGTGACTAGTCTTCTTGTATTATTTCAAATCTTTTTGACTTAGGTTGAAATATGATTATTAAGTGGAATAATTTCTAAGAGATTTTTCTAAGGTGCCCATACTTCCTGCAGCATGCTGTCCTTTATAACAACTCTGCCTTCTCCTGTGTCCATAAAAAAAGCAATCCATTCCTACCTAATATGCTACAATTCCTGTTGTCAGAGGCCACTGCACTCTATTTCTTTCACTTTTATTAGGAATGAGGTTTTTTTAAAAAAACTAAATGAGGCAACAATACCTAGAGATGATAAACTTACCCAAAATCAGTTTAAAGTTCCTTTTATTTCACCTGATGATGTAACATGTCAAGTGAGAGGAGCTTAACAAGTGAGAGGAACCTTGTAGTCATGACTAGTCTTATATATCCCTGATAGAGATTAGAAGACTCGAATTGATAGGCAATAGAGAAGCAAAAAAACCCCAAGAGAATTCAGTTCTTATCTAGTCATAAAAGGCATTCTCTCCCTGCCTACTTTTACCTCAGTATAAGAGTGGCCATTAATCTCCAGCAAGTAGGCCTAACATGCTGAAGACCTGTCAGCACCATATAAACAGAAGAGAGCAAACTGTTAATATTGCTGTCGTGAGAAAACTGAAAACAGACTGATTAATTGTATTGGCGCTCCACCACCAGGGAGCCAGCTTTGGTCGTCACCTTATTAGGGAAGTCACAGTTTGCTTTTAGGCTTTTCATTATTATGACTGTCCAGTTTTCATCCTCACTGTTTTTGTTATTGTTGTTAAATGGATGCCTTGTTCTTAAACCTATTCTACAAAGCTTGACTGGCAGGAGTGATTAGTTTAGAAGAAGTCAGTGTCCTCCATGAAGCCTAAAATGTTTACGGTGCTGACAGTTCACTGTTTCTGAAGACTCCCAGATGGCGACCTTTCTGAATTAGTTCAAGGCCTAGTTAACATCTCATGAGAATTATTTACCGTGCTCACACATGAAGGTGCATGAAGAACTCTGGAAAATCTTGATGTACTTAGCATTGTCAGGACACATCCAGATGGGCAGCCACTGGGGACATCTTTGGAAGGGACACTAAAAAGAGCTTGAACTGTGCTCTCCTGAGCATGTTAACAGTAGGATATAAATCTGAGGTCACAAACAGGTACCTCAGGGCCACCTTTGGCCAGTACATGTGCTTTGTTTGGCCTCACAAGAATGGCCCCTACAACTCTGAGATGATAAAATAGTTGCCACCATTTGAACAATTAGGAGTTTTTATTCATGCACAAAATGAAGCTTTCTCGTTTCTCTTAGGAAATCAAAAGCTCTAATTGTACATTCTTGTGGAGCAGCCATCAGCTTGAGATAAGAGGCTTTTCGATTTCCTCTGCCACTTCTGGTGTCTTCCCAAACCCAGTGCTACTTGGTGTATGAGACTGCTCTGGTTTTCTTAACAGCAGCCCATTTAATTCATTTATTGTGTTGCCAAGGTTTTAACCTTGAATACTTAAATAATAAGTATAAAGTTTTCTCATATCTTAGATATTAGGTCTGTCACTCATATTCCAGGTGGGAGGTCCATTTCACAGGGTGGAAAACATCTAGATTTAGTTCTTTAAGAACAAACAAACAAAAAATGAAGAACTTGTGGAACTAGAAGTAATACCGTCAGGTCAACTTCAAAAGTTCTTCAGATGATGAGTTGGGGCGTCTTGGGCTTGGGCTAGGCCATCAAAACATGCTTCACAGCCTCTTGCAGTAAGGTGACTTGAGAAACCGATACCTAGAACAGCATGCTACAGTCACTCCTGGTCACCACAAAGTCAAAGGTTATAGCTGGGTAACCAAGGAAAAGGATAAAATGGGAGCACAAATGGAGGTAGTATATGGTAGGCCCTGAAGTTAGACTTTCCCTAGCTCAGAACTCACCTCTAGCTTGCAGACCCAGTTGTTTAACCAGTAAATGAGAATAATGATGATGATAATAATAATAGCACTGCATAGGGAAAATCTGAGAATAAGAGAGTTCATGCCTGAAACAGGAAAGTGTTCAGTAAATGTTAGCTCCCGTGATTTTTCTTACAAGCAAATCAAAATTTAGGAGGTGCAGTGAGCAGGGGAGAAGAGGCATCAGAGAACCCAGGACTCAGGACTGCGCCATGGCTCTCATTCAGAGTGCACAACATTAGTAGGAGTCTCCAGACGTAGACTCTGGTCCTCCAGGAGCAATACAGCAGGACCCTTCAGAGACTGTGCCCCTCTCCTGCTAGCACATTTACTCTCTTATTTCAGTTATCTTCACCTGTGCTGCCACTTAAAAAAGAACCAGCCACCCTCTCCTGCTCATACTACCACTTAAGCTTATATCTGCAGGCATTCCCTTGACTGCAGAGGTTCTGAGAAATGTGTCCGTTTCCTTTTTGTCCAGTCCCTTCGAGGTTGACTCCTTGCAGCCTGACTGGAGTGCACTCTTTCTTGGACTCCTGGCCACGTCAGCAGCCCTTTCTTCTAGGCCTTTCTTCTTCTTGCCCTTCTTTGCATGCCAGCCCATCTGGGTCTCCCCCTTCTCTACACTGTCACTGCCTCCATGTCTTCCTCCTGCTCCCTAACACTAGGAATGGCCAACACTTTGCTGCCTTTCTACCTACTCCTTCAGCCCTGATAGCCAGGAACCAGTGTGGCAACATCCTGCACTTTAGGAAAGGACACTTCTCCTCGGATACTTTCTTAGCAGCTTTAGGGAGACAGAGTTATGATCTTTATAAATCCACAGTGACTGGAAAGAGATCACCATATGCTTGTTCTGTCTAGCTGTCTAGCTGCCTGACATCTCCACTCAAGGGGCAAATTGAAGTCATTGGATTTGTTTTGTTTTGTTTTGTTTTTGTGGTATTGGGGATTAAACCCAGGCCCTTTGCACTGAGCTACATCTCTCCCCAGTCATATATACACTTGAGTCAAGTTCTTGTTAAATTGGGCTAGAAATTAGATCTTTCTGCCTCAACCTCTCAGTGTGCTGGGACATGGCACTGCTATACCCAGCTTAAAGTTACTGTTTTCCTATGAAAAATATATCCACTGTAGTCAGGTCAGTTTCAGTTAATCATGATGTAGTTCTCAGTTTTCCAAGCTGTGAACCTTTATGTGGTCCAAACAGTTTACTTTAAGCTCCCTAAAGAGCTAGTCACAGCCTTCTTTTACTTTCCATTTCCATGGTCACCCCCTAGTCTGTACTCTTACCACCTTATTTCTATAATTTCCTAACTGGAATTCACCCTCCCACAGCTCCTCTTTCCAGGCTAACACACATAGTAACATAAAATGGTCTTATTGGACAGTGGATAGTTCAGTAACCTGTAGGAGGTAATGAAATCTTTGGTTCAGTATCTGATATCTGTGATCTGACCCTGACCTGTACCCACAACTTTGTCTTCCCCTGGTCCCTACATGGATCACATCACCAATCAAAAAAATCTTCTACTGTGTTCCTAATGGACCACTTCCACCCTACCCTAGCCAGTGACATACTCACTTTTCTGACACACTACTGTTTCCTTCCTCTGCTTGACTAGGCCACTCTTACCAGCTCAAGTGCCACCTCTTCCCACCTGTCCTTAGTGGCTGATTCCTTCTCTGAGCTCTTCCAGTAACAATCATTCTGGGCCATTTATTTGACATTTAACTGCCTAGATAGTTTCCATCTCCTTGTGTTTGTATCTTTCCTGGTGGCTGCATTAGAAGACTCTTTTTTTGTTTGTTTTGTTTTTTTGGTACCAGGGATCAAACTCGGGTTCTTGCGCTTGCTAGGCAAGAGACGGAACCACTGAGCTAAATCCCTGGGCCCAATGGTATTTTTGTCTTCTTTTTTTTTTTTTGTTACCGGGGATTGAACTTGGGTCCTTGAGCTTCCGAAGCAGGCAGTGGAACCACTGAGCTAAATCCCAGGCCCTGCATTGGAAGACTCTTAAAGGCCAAGATTATCCTTCTTTTCCTGGTAGCCTAAAATAGAAGACTACTCATTCAGCTGTACACTGAAGGCTTATCAATAATTATAATTATGTCATCTCGTTTGTAGAATTCTTATTATATATAAGATAATTATGGGGCCGGGGATTTAGCTCAGTGGCACCGAGCCTGCCTTGTAAGCACGAGGTCCTGAGTTTGATCCCTAGTACCAAAAAAAAAAGATCATTATGTTTTTATCAACTAATAAGGACTTCCCTAGAAATATAGTGTTTATTCTTTATAGCAGCCCTCTAAGATAAGGAGGGTCCTTAGGAAGAAGTGAAAAACTGTGACTCTGAGATGCTGTCACTTGCCTAAGGTGACAAGGTTGGTAAGTAGTAGAGTCCAACTGGAACCAGGCTTTCTGATGCTTAGATCACTGTTGACTCCCCAGTGAACCTTGCTATTGGTGTTGGTGATATCCAGAAGTCTCCATGCTCTTAAGGGGAACCACTTTTAATTCTCCTGAACCCTTAATTGAGGTCATTCAGGAGAGTGTGAAGAAAATAAGGGAGGTGGCAACCTGTGAAGGGGCCTGGGATTTAGCTCAGTGGTGCCACCGCCTGTCTTGCAAGAGCAAGGTCCCGAGTTCGATCCCCAGTACCAAAAAAAACAAAACAAAAACAAAAACAAAACCATGAGGAGGTGGGATTGCTGTGCTCACTGGCAGGCTGTGTCAGCCATGGAGAACCAGGCATGACCACTGGATCAGTGCCAGCGAGTGCATTTTCTTTAGGTCACTGTTTGCCAGACCTTTCCATTTCCCAGGCCTGTAAACTTAAAAATATGACAGTATCTGTAGGTTACATACATCCAAAGCAGACATAAAAAAATAAAATAAAACATTACTACCTACTTTTCACCACCATTTCATATAAGAACATAATAGCATTTAAAAAAGGACAGCTTCAGAAATCTAACTGCTTTTTAAAAGTAATAGATTTAAAAATCATCCTGCTATTTTTTTTTATCATTTTACCCTGGACTGCTAAAAAATCATCCCAACTACCAACAGCTGTTTGGACTTATTTTTCAGAGACCCCAATTCAAGTCATATTTTTCTCTTCTGAGGTTTGAAATTATCCAGTCCAAGGAGTGTGATTGCTTGAGTATTCCCATTCCCTATAATCAAAACTGTGATTTGAGAACTTGGGATGGTTGGTAAATCCAAAGTCCCCATTTTATATAAATTTAAAACTAGTTTCTCCCCAACCCTAGTGGACCCACTATGAAGCCTATTTTCTTGGTTGCTTACAGCAAAATTGTGTCCATTCTCAGGGAACATTTGGTCCTAGATGTTTGTCAAGTTTAATCTTTGGCTGTGGCCATTTGGAAGCAACTGAATGGCTTGACTTGGAAATCTCAAGAGAATTCTAGAAAATGATTCTTCTACTTTCTAAACTATTTCCTGTATCACATTTTATTTAAAAGTATGATTATATTCACATGAGTTCTTACCAAAATATTAGTCTTACTGTATAAGAAATTTCTGTCATAAGGATTGCCATTTTTATTGACATTATCCTGATGAGTACCAGAAAAAAAATGTATCTTTGTGTGTCCTGTCAGACTCTTGTTTGTTCCTTTCTTCAAGCAATATTTAGTACTTGCTCACCTACTGCAGTAGTCTCCATAAATGTCACTTGATTTTCCAAGACTTCTTTCCTACTCTTACCATATTAACCCAGAAAAATTTTTACTGAGTTCACTGGAGGTGAGACTAAGTCCAAAGGTTGAAATGTTCTTTGCAGGTCTAATAACATCTCAAATTACTATGTCCAAGACTAAGATCCTGATACCCACCCCCCTATTCCCACTGCAAACTACCCTAGCCTCCATCCCTCAGTCTTTCCCATCTCACTTAATGGCACCTCCATCTATCCATTTATTCAGGCCAAACACCTTCCTCTCAGCAAACACTGTCAGCTTCAGCTTCCAAACACATCCACTCATCACCACTCCTGCGGCTACCCTTGGGTCTAAGCCACCACCATCTTTCTCCTGGATTACTGCAGTAACTGGTCACCTGCTCTACCCAGGTGAAGGGTGCCCTTTAGTCTTCCCTTACAACTATTGCTAGGTTAATGTGTAAATTTGATGGTGTCACTCCTGGCCCAAACTATAATAGCTTCACCTCTCACTCCAAGCAAAAGCCAAAGCCACACACACATCTCACCCCCATTACTTCTCTGCCTCACCTCCCATAACTTGCCCCTCTCATTCCCTCTGTTCCATTGATACTGGTCTTTTTTTGGTCCTTTGATACCAAGAAGTCTCCTGCCTCAGTTTTTATACTTGGTTTTCATTTCCTCCAAACTGCAGAGCTTGCTCCCTCAGCCCCTTTAGGTCCTTTTTATTTATTTATTTTTTTGTGTACAAGAGATTGAACTCAGGATTTTGTGCTTGCGAGGCAGGTGGCGGCACCAACTGAGCTAAATCCCTGGCCTTCCTTTAGGTCTTTATGCAATTGTCTCCTTAAAGAAGCCCCCTTGACCACTCTGTTTTAAACTGCAGCCAGTCCCCCTCACCCCACACACCCCCTCCTCTGTAGCACCTTCTCTCTTCTTTCCTTGCTTATTATCATATAACATGGTACTTCATTTTGTTTGTCTCTCTCTCTTAGGCCACTATGTATAGATTTAGAAATTGTGCTTTGCTCAAACTATGCAAGCATGTGCAGTGGCCCTGCTGTCCCCCTAGATGTAAGCTGCATAGGTCATGGCTTTTTATCCATTTTGTTCACTGCTTTACCCCAGGGCCTAGAACTCTACTTGACATGTATTGGGAGCTACTGATATTTGCTGAATAAGTCAATTAAATAGATGAAATACTGTTACCAAGATTCTGCCCACTCAGATTGGTCAAATTGATTTTTTTCTTATTATAAAAGATACTGTATTTCATAGAAAATGAAAATTAAAAAGTCACCCACTATCCTACCATTTTAGTATATATCCTTCCAGATCTCTGCAAATGATTTTTTACATTAAAACATTTTCATACTTTACCTATTATTCTTAACTTAAATTGCTTCATTTAGTATATTGTGAATGTCTTTTCATGTCAGTAAAAATTTGTCTAAAGCATCATGAATCACTGAATGAAAATGGTGTTTTAACGTGTAGATATACCTACATATCATTCATCTTAGAAGTAAAAAGATTATTTTCAGTGTACTCACCAAAAGATCACATTAGCAGTCTAATAATAAGCTGCTAGAATCTCAACACCAACACTTCTTCTTCATCCCTAAAAGTCAGACATAGGTGAAAGGATTGTCTGATAGAGTATGCTGTTGTGAATCAAATACACTTAATTTAGGAGGCTAGCTTATTAAGAATATGTTCCTGAGGGCAGCCTAATTCTTAAGTCTCCAAACGACATATTAGGAATCTTAAAATCTGAGGTCTAAATGTGCACAGTCTGATTAATATTGAATCTTAGAAGAATAATCCCATTTTAGCAACAATATTATTGCTAAATTAATCCATTAAAAGTAATTTTTAACACTTCAAGTGTTTAGATAATACTTTTTTAAAATTTTTTTTCTTTCGAACTCAGGACCATGCGTTTGCCAGGCAGGCACTGCACCACTGAGCTATATTCTCAGCCCCTAGATAATAATATGTCTTTAAACTCAGTAAGTGAATATAATTTTTTATGTTCTTTGGAAGATTTAAAGTTAGCCAGACTTTTGTGGCTAGGGTTCAAGTTAGTTTAAAATTAAATTTAAAAATATCATGAACTGCAGTTGGGGCTGTAGCCTTAACAGATCAGCTGCATGAATCTATCAGGACTCAGAAACTACTAAAATATAAGATGTCATTTTGATAGTTTTTGAAAACAACTGTTTCTATTCTACTCCAAAAATTCTTTTTCTCTTGATGAACTTTAGAAGTGTGGTTTTCCAGTCATCTATCTTCCTAATGTACTGATTGCACCTTCGCTCCCATTACTTCCTCCAGAAGTCTCCAGCCAAACCAGATGCATGCCAGCATCAGCACTCGTGCAAAAATCAATGTCATTCAATACTGAACATTAATACACTTTAAGGAACTCTGTAAAGATAAATATTAATTGTATTAAATTGTATACGTACGTAGCTCTTTTTCATGTGTGTGTGTGTGTGTGTGTGTGTGTGTGTGTATGTGTATGTTTTGTGGCACTGAGGATTAAACCCAGTGCTTTGCACATGCCAGGTAAGTACCCTGCTGCTGAGTTACATCCCCAGACCTTTCTATTTTTTGATACAGGTTCTCCCTAAATTGCTAAGGCTGGCCTCAAACTTGGAATCCTCCTGCTTCAGCCTGCTGAGTAGCTGGGACTTCCATGTCCAGCTTATACATAGCTCTTTACTGAGAAAGTCTTTATAAAAAGTTAAGAAATGATTTTGTTGTATTCTGATTAAATATACATAAACTTTAAAAAATCATTTTCTAGGACAAAAGACACCATCATTGTAGGAAAAGTATTATATTCTCGCTACTATTAAAAAAATATACCTTAAGAATCTGAGCTAGAAACATGACAGCTGTGATATAAACTCACTTTTATAATCAGATGCATAATCACAACCAAAATTACTTCCCAAGTATTTCTACTCCAGGCTTTAGATTGCTGCTAAGAAACTTAAAGACAATTCTGAATGAGCAGGTAAAAGAGACCCTTATTTCCTATAACTATCTACCAAGATATAATATCTGGTGCAATCTTGCCATTTTTTCTGCCAATGAAATTAGCAAAATGAGGTACCTAGAGAAATGATTGAAGCTTATTTCTTCCACATGGGTTGCTATCGAAATATCTGCCTTTGATTTAAAATTGTTTTTCCATTAACTCTGAGCATAGCTAGACATGTAAGTCCTATCCACATCCAGGTTAATGTAACTATTTCAGGAAGACTTTGCAGCTCATAGCAAGAACACTAAATTGCCTTTCCCTGGGGATGCATCATGGAGCTTTGTGCTGATTTCGGTGTGGGTGCCTGTACCCTCCCAAGTAGACTCTGTGGCACTCTCAAGTCAACACAGTTACCTCCCCTGCAGTGTATCTTCTTGAAAAACAGTAACACTATGTGAATAAGTGATTTTTCTTTTAAAATTATTCCGTATGCAGCTCTGTCCATATTCTCCTTTTAGACTCATCATTTCTAATCAAATTCTGGAGGTTTGCATTTGATGTTGTGTTGTTGTTTTTGTGGGTATGTTGTGAGTCTTTCTATAAAACCTGTCTAAGCTGAGATATTTCCATTAGAAACTTTTAAGAAAAAAATGTTCTCATTTTAACTATTGGTTTTTAAAGTGCCCATTGTGCATATCTAAGAACTGAGCTTTAGGAACATCATAATAAGTATTATTAAATCTGTCAAAATCCTGCAAAGAAGCTACTTCCTTAGAGCTTGACCAGTCCCTTTTCTTTTCAGTATCAAGGCTTGGTGAGAGCTAAGTCGAAGTCCTCAGAAATTATTCAAGTTAAATGATAATTGATTTATTTCACTTAATGTCATAGAACAAAATGGAATGAAGCCCCCTATCTTTTTTGTTAAGACTACTGCCTTTGATTTCATAGGCAAGTATCTATGAATGTTTAACCCTAAGTACCAGCTAATATAAGGGCTCTGAATCATATATGACCCTTTTCCTTTTTAATTTTCATCTTTTCTCACCCCTTTCATTACAGCAATCTATAAATGAAGCCCAAGTCACTCTACTAGTGTGTCAAGAAATTCTAAAAATGATAAAATAGAAAATGTTGGCACTAGAAATGATTGTGCTAGTTAAGTTTCATGATCTCTTAGGATGTTTCTTCAGTGTTCTTTGGTACCAGGGAACTTAATAATGCTACCTGCCATTGATGTGATTGCCTTTGATGAATGAGAGAAGTGTGGAGTTGACCCTCCTTATCTCATTTGTCCTTTGGCTTGGGTGTCAGGGCCGACCAGATGCGCTTGCACTGGCTTGAGCAGTGCTGTGCATGTGATTTGCCCGCTGTAGAAATGCTGCCAGACCTGATGATTAATAGGGTTGTGGTGCAGCGAGGTCATTTAATGCACAGAGAGCCCTAAACATAGCAACCTCATCAGAAAACAAAAGACAGCGACCTTTTGCATCAAGGTTCCTGTTTACCGAAGGACTGCTAAGTCAGATAACCTTAAGTTAGTTTGCTGCATTTGGTTCCTAATTGTTGAAGTTTGTGGGTTACATTGGAGAAATTAGTAATTACTTTTATAACATTTTAGTAAAACACTTGGGAGTGTGTGCATATGCAAAGATGTCTTTGAAAGAACTTCTAGCTGGGTTCACATCCCATTTCCTGTTCGTCTTTCAGGGCTAGGCTGTCTTAATTACCCCTGTTTCTGTGTCTTCAGCTCCTGCTTCTGTACTGGCTTCTTAATTTTGGCATATAAAGACACTCAAGTCTCTCCCTTCTTTAAAAAAAGGAGCCTTTTCTTACTTAGCCCTACATCCTTCTTTAGCAATGGCCCAATTTCTCTTCTGTCCTTTAAAGTGAACTTCTTAAGAGAATTCACAGTCCTTGTCTTTCTGCAGTCTGGCTTCCTCCTCTCCCGAAACCTCTCTGTCTGAGGTCACTGATGGATTCCTTTGCCAAATCCTTCCAGCACTTTTCAGGCCTCATGAGAGTCTTCCTTGTGTCATTTGATGGCCTCACTGCTTTTACTATCACTGGTCCCCTTCTTCCTTCTTGAAATTCTCTCTTTCATTGGTTTCCTGATGCAGCTCTTCTGCATTTCCAGTCTTCTCCCTGCACCCTCCTTAAATAGAACCGTTTTCCCTGGTCCAGTCTTTTCTCATTTTCCAGTATATGATGTCCAAGGTTGCCCCTTATTCTCATGGCATCATCTAAAACCCGTAGGCCAGGGGCACATAGGCTTCCTCCCAGAACTCAGAGGAGATTCCACTGCACCTTCCTCAGAGAGTTCCAGTCTTCTTCCCCAGCAAGGTGCTTCCTCTTCCTTATTCCTGTGTCAGCAAGTGGAATTACCATTCACCTACTTGACCTAGCACAAAAACTGCGAACACCAGGCTTCTCGGTGACGTGCACTTCCTGTCAGTCACCATGATCCACATATTCAGCTACAGAAATCTCTCCGGGGCTAGGCTGTCTCTGCAACACCAAGGCCACCATTTCAATTCAATTCAAGCCTTATGTCTTACCTAGTTTTTTAAAACAATGATGCCTTCCTTCAGTTTCTCTTTCTATCCCTATCTGCTATCAGTGATTTTTTTTTTAGCAGCTTTTTTTTCATACTAAGGATTGAACTCAGGGCCATGCACATACTAAGCAAGTGCTCTACCACTGAGCTACATCCCTGGTCCTTTTTATATTTTGAAACAAGGTCTTGCTCAGTTTTCCAGGCTGGCCTTGAACTTGTGCTTCTTGTACCTTAGCCTCCCAAGTAGCTGAGGTTACAGGTGTGTGCCACTATGCCCTGTATCAGTGATGTTTTAAAGTCACAAAGCTAACTACGTCATTCTCTTGCTTGGGACCTTTCTGTGGCACCTCATCTCTCCTGGGTAGACTCTTAGCATAGCATTCAAGAGCCCTCTTGGCTGCACTTCCAGACATGTACGCGCATAGAGTTCTTTCATCTCCTCAGGAATGATTCCCTTGGAGCATTATACTTCTGCTGGCCCCTGTGATCCTGCCCCTGCTGTTCCCTCCACCAGAAATGCATCCTTCTGCTGCTTCTCCTCCCCTCTGACTTATCAGTTTGCAGAGACCTTTCCTGACAAGGTGTCTTGCTGGCTGCCCTCACTCTGCACATCTCTGTATGGATTTAAAAATTATGTCTTTCCAAATGGTCAGGGCCCAGCACACTGCCAGGCATATGTTATGAACCCTGGATTCATCTATTGCAATGAAATGTGTCTTAGTTACTTTTTTCTTGTTGCTCAGACAAAATACCTGACACCCAAAGTTAAAGGAGGAAAGGTTTATTTTGTTCACAGTTTGTAGAGGTTTCAGTCCATAGTTGGCTGCTCCAAGGCAGAGTGGCACATGGCAGAGGGGGAGAGGAGAAACAGTTCATTGTACGCAGAAGACAACAAAAGCAAAAGGGACCTTAACAGTGTCTTTCTGCCCCTTTTATACAGACAACTTAGGGTGAGTAGCACTCACACCCTTAATCCTAGTGCCCTTGAGCCTTGCATTGCACCATGAATCCATTCCAGGTCACACACTCTAGAACTAGTCACCTCTGAAAAAGCCCCACTTCCAAAAGCATGAGG